CGCGCCGTGTCTTTCTTTTGACTTGGTTCTGGGACGCAAACAGCCGCCGCGCTGGTTTGTGTCCGCCGGCCTTCTCGACCTCCGGCCCCGCAGGTGGCCGGGAGTGTCCACGAGCGAGCAGGCGGAGGCTCCTCTCGCACCGTGGGGACTGCCAGCGTCCCCTGGCGCGTGGAAGTCGGGACAGGCAGCGGAAGTACAGTCGCCACTTGAGACAGCACCGCAGATGTGGGGAAAAGGGCGTGGAGTCCAGCTCCATTGGAGGACTGCAAGCCTGGCATTTAAAAGACCGCCCTTCGGGAAAACGGAGCCACTCGGCAAAACCCAGCCACAATCAAGCTCCGGTCTTACCAGTCGTAGGCCAAGGGGTGAGAGGGACGTATGGAGGGAAAAAGCAATGAAACAGCGTTAATACTAAGACGGGATGGGGGAGGAGTCGACAAAGGGCGTTCGGAACAGGTCTCGCACACCCTAACTGCTCCAAGGTTAAACAGCAAGTGATAGGAGGCTGCACATTGAGACAGCATCACCAGCTCATTCATTGTTCTAACTTTGCACTAGGGCTCAAGAAAAGGTTGTGCTTTAAATAGTAAAACCAGGAAAATAAAATGAACACTTAGCTAAGTTTTATACAAATGCAGTAGAAAAATACAAATAGACTTTTTAGGGTAGAACGTGGGCCCACCAAGGCAAAAGTGTCATAATGCAGCCCTACTTTTTATCGATATTCAAATTTTATACCAGAAACAAACTATTTCTTGTTTAACAGAAAAAAAGTAACTAGGAGCACTACATTTTGTGTATATACCTCTCTTCAGTTAACAGTCTAAAAGCCAAATTGTACATTAAAATCTCTTGGCATAATTTTCAAAAAGATTCTTGAAAAATGGCCAGAGGCAGTGGCTCACGCTTGTAATCCCAGGACTTTTGGAGGCCTAAGTGAAAGGATAGCCTGGGTAACTTGGCAGGACCTTGCCTCCAAAAAATCAAAAAATCAGCCAGGTATCGTGGCCCACGCCTGTAGTTCCAGCTAACTTGGGGGCAGAGAAGATCCTGTGAGCTCAGGAGGTCCAGGCTGCATGCCACTGCACTCCAGCCTGGACGACAGTAAGACTGACTAAATAAATAAATCCCTGAAAGGCTAAAATATGTGTAAAATATGGAGTCTGATTTTGAACAGACTTTCTGATACAAACTTAAAAGTTCAATGGTTCGCTAAGTCTTAAATATTATCTACAAATTACCAGTAGCAGCCCCACCTGTTTTGAGTTGCTATCCCCATTATACAATAGAAACTACTGAACTACAATCGGGTGGGCATTAAGACGAGGCAAGAGCTAACTAAGTATGAAAGACTGAATCAAAGCTGGGCAAGGTGGCTTATCCCTGTAATCACTTTTTTTTTGGTTAGAGTCTCACTCTGTCGCCCAGACTGGAGTGCAGTGGCCGCTCCCGGCCACCGCAGCCTCAACCTGCTGGGCTCTGGCGATCTTTCCGCCTCAGCCTTCCAAGTAGCTGGAACTACAGGCAGGCGCTACCACACTTGGCTAATTTTTGATCTACTGTGGAGATGAGGTCTCGCCAAGTTGCCCAGGCAGGTCTTGAACCCGCAGGCCCAGGCAATCCACTCACCTCAGCCTCCCAAGGTGCGGGATTACAGGCTGAGCCACCGAGCCCGGCTCCTGTAATCACTTTGAAGGCTGACACAAGAGGATTGTTTGAGCCCAGGAGTTTGAGACCAGCCTGGGCAACACAGACCTCATTTCCATTTATAAAAAAAAAAAAAATTAGCCAGGCTGGTGGTGCATGCCTGTAGTCCCAGCTACTCAGGAGGCTGAGCAGAAGATTGCTTGAGCACCGGACTGGGAGGCTGTGGAGCTGTGATCATTTCCATTGCATGCCATCCTGGGTGACAGAATGAGACCTCAACTCAAAAGGTTTTTTAAATACAAAATAAAAGACTGAATCAAACTCATGTGGTGGTAATTATTTCGCCGTCCATAATGTCTTTTGTATTATCAGCCAACTCTCATGTCATGGCCAATTAGAGGAAGATGAACCCACTACTAAACAGTAAAACACAAATGAAAGCTGCTAAGAAGAAGTTCAGGCCAAAGCAGACAATTAACACGGCTTTAATGTAACACCATTTAGTAATGTGACAATTTGAAAAAACGAAGAGTACTCTGTGGAAAAGAAAAACTAAGGAACACATCTGATAGAGTGCATACTTCCACAACAGTGGAACAGGAACCAGTGTGTGAACCGTAATGGAAGGGCCTTGGTAAGTGCTGAAAACGGCCGCTGAGCATTCCTGAGTGCACCAGACAGTCTTCAGGATGCTGCACCTTCCACAACAATGAAAAAAAGAACCAAGAAAAGGCGATTTTGTTTTGAACAAACTTTACTAAATAACCCTGAAAAGGCAACGAACACTCTAATGATTTAAACCTACTGGTTTTAAAGCTCAGCTGGAAGAAAGCGAGGCGTGACATACACTGTCCGTGGAGAATGAGGAAGGCAGGTCCCTGGAAATGCACACTGATCCCACAAATTTGCTTCAAGGAGAAACCTGCAGACTTGTTCAGGTCTTGCTAAGTAACAACTGTTTATTTCCACTCAAAACATTTGGGAAAGTCTGCTACATAGCTAAGGTCACGGTGACCACAGAACAGATGAAAAGGAAAAAGCACTGAACAGCAAGAAAAATGCATCCCACCCTCAAAAGAATTTAGGTGAACCAGTAAAAAAAAAAAGAAAATGAAGATAAACAAAATAAATGGATACAGCCTTCATCTTTTACAAATATACCCCCTCCCCACTATCTCCCCAGTATAAACACCGTGGAGCATTTATATATTCAGTGCAAGGAACAGTATCATCGGTACATCTGAAACACCTGTGAAGAAAGAATAAAGCTAAAAGTAACACCTAATTCTGAATCCGTTTCAGTGTAGTGTAATAAAAGTATTACACTAGAATGGTGTGGGAGAGGCTCTGATAGCACCCATCTGCATTCCACATGAAAAAAGAAACCTAAGACACTTTTTAAAAATTCTACAAGCCACATTTTTAAAAAGTTTGAATGGGACTGCATTATTGTGTAACTTAAGACGAAACTCTTACATGACTTGCAAATGAAGGCTTAAAATACTTAGCAGCTACAAAAATCAGATAACTCATGCTTCATGAGGCTCCTACAAATACTTTAGCCTGTGTTCAATTACAGTCAGCTCTGGATTGGCTCGCCTCTTGACTGGACTTCTAAAGTCTTCACACAGAGTAAAAGAAATGGACAAAAATGAATGATCATATTCTCCCCTGTACCTGGACCCTGGAAAGGTGTGGGTCTGCTTTAAAGAAGAAACAGCATACATGTAATCGCCATCAAGCTCAGCATGAGACAGAGCTTACCATCACTTTCAGCAACAGACTGCAAGCTGTGCTGTGAAGAAAATGCACAGCAGAGAAAGCTGGGGGTGGGAGAGGCAGGGAAACAGCGTCAACACGGTGAGAGAGTGATGAAGACAACTACTCCCAAGCTAGGGTCCTCAACAAGCCCCCACTCTGAGGGCGGAGTATGGATGCCCAAGGGCCACCTGAAGCCATCTCCTCCACTAACTATGCAGCTGTCTGGGAACCCAGCGGTTCCAAGGGCAACAGAACACATGCACTTTCTGGTCTAACCAGTATCAAATGAAAAGTTTTTTTTTTCTTTTTGTATGTCTATTTTGAACACAACTTAAACGAAACTTTTATATAAATTTGGGCTTCCATCCAATCCCTGTCCTCAATTTCCGTAGGAGGAATTGAGTACTGGAAGCAAGCAAAACAAGATTCTAACCACAAATGACTGCACTTAAACATGATTATCAGCCTGAAGGGACAGAGACACTTGAATGTCTTTTAATACCAAACTTAAAAAAAAAATCTGTTATAGAAACTGCAACTTATCCCCCTAGCATTTTTAACTGTTGGTGTTATTTCTGCATGGACAGATTAATATATTAAATTAAGCCAAGATTTTAAAGACTGGCAAAGTTCTATCATTCTATTAAAAAACAAAGATGTTTAAAAACAACAAAAAATACAAGTTAGTTGCTTCATGTTACATTTCACAACCATTATGTTAAATGTATTCTTTTTCTACAGAAACAGGGTCCTTTATGCCACAACTGCAAGTATTTACTGCTAGATGTTTAAAGGTACAGACTAGTGTTTGACTGGAGCCTGCTGATGGTGGCGTCTTGAGGTTTTCTGAGTTTCGACCTAAGGTGTGCCAGGTCCTCTCCAGGACCACTCTTGCAGGGGGAAGGAGGGAGAGGAAATCACAGATCAAGTTCTTAAGATTGTGTCACTCTCTTCGTGGCTTTCTGTTTCTTGGTGATCTGTCCAAAATTTCATCCTCCTGTTGGTTGAAAGAAAGAAATTCTCTATAATTAGCACATTTTTAGAAAATGAAAGCTCACCATATTTTCAAGATCAGCCAGGCTAAGGATGGCCCATGAGGAAAACACAAGAGAAGAAAAATTATGAGAAGCAAAGGCATGAAAAAAACAGTGGCTGTGCAGAGGTGGTGGGATGTGTGTTCTCATTTGTTTTTTGGTTTACCATAAACGTGCACTTTTCTCAACCTAACCCACAAATATTTTTTTTCTTTTTTTTTTTTTGAGTTGGAGTCTCACTCAGTCGCCCAGACTGGAGTGCAGTGGCCGCTCCTGGCCACCGCAGCCTCAATTTGCTGGGCTCTGGCGATCCTTCCGCCTCAGCCTTCCAAGTAGCTGGAACTACAGGCGTGCGCTACAACACCCGGCTAATTTTTTTGATTTATTGTAGAGATGAGGTCTCACCAAGTTGCCCAGGCGGGTCTCGAACTCGCGGGCTCAGGCACTTACCTCAGCCACCCAAGGCGTGGGATTACAGGCTGAGCTTCTGAGCCTGGCTCACAAATATTTTCTCGCCTACTGGGCTCCAGCGAATAAGCTGTATTCTCATCATAGAAAGCCATCTATCATTTGCCCCTACAACCTTCTGCTATTCCAGAAAACCATTTTCAGCACAAAAAGGTATTTCTGAGATTCAAATGTAGTTTAAAATTATCAATAAGCCAGAAGCGCTGGCTCGCACAGAATCCCAGATTTACAGAATTAACCCCAGAATTACAGAATCCCAGGGCTTTGGAAGGCCGAGGCGAGAGGATTGCCTGAGCAACTTGGCAAGACCTTGTCTCTACATAAAAATAAAAACAAGAAAATGAGCCAGGCCTGGGTGGCACGCACCTGGGCTTTCGGTTACTTGCAAGGCTGAGGCAAATGATCACCTGAACCCAGCAGGTTGAGGCTGTGGTGGCCATTAGCCTGGGTGACAGAGTAAGATTCCAATTTAAAAATAAATAAATAAAAAATACATTTACCTGTGTCACTAAGATTAGCACTTGAACAAAACTGGTTCTAACAGAATTCTTACTTCCATAAGCCACTGTAGACTGCCCGACAGAAACATTCCCTGTGCGCAAATGCTCCCTTGGCATTTTGCTCTCATGTTGCCCTTTGCGTTACCTCCGCTCTAGGTTTTCTCTCTTCCTCCTCTTGACTGACGGTGCCACCATCTTCTTCAGCATCACTTTTTTGTTTCTCTTCTAGGACAGAGGTTGAACAAGTGAGCAAGCCTGCTGTCTATGGGGATCAGACAATTAGCACGAGACTACGTCTCTGGATCTAAAACAATTCTGGCGGTCACTGGGTCTTGGTTGAAAACATGTTCTGGGGCCTGCTTCTTACCAAGTTTTTCTTCACCCTCTTCCTCCTCCTCCTCTGCCTTGTCCTTCTCCTCCTCCTTCTCTTCTTGCTCTTCCTTCACATCTGGTTGAGGAGCATCAGTTTTCTTGTACTCCACAGAACTGGGCTGTTTCTGAAATATGCCCCAAGTGCAACAATTTTGACTGGATGCCTAAAGGCAAAACCTGTTTCAAGCTGTACACAGGGGCACAAGAGTGGGTAAGGAGCAAAGCCCACCCAAAGAGCTTTCTCTTTTGTGAACGTGTGTGTGGCTCAAGGCAAAAGGCACAGGAAAACCCAAGGGCCAGGCAGGAAAGCACAGGTCTGAACAGTCACGTTGTCAGAGGCACAGAGACACAAACAGTGGAGGAAAAGGCTAGAAAAGGCACTTTGGGTCCAGACACAAAGTACTCTCAATGCAAGGTGAAGCACAGCTGTCGTTTAGGAGGAGACAGCCCAAACAAGGTTTCCTTTTTCAAGAGTGCCTGCAACAAAGGCTAAATAAGAGAAACCAACAACCTGTAATGTTCTGGGAGGGTGGGGCTGATTATTGAGAAATCAAAGATCGGATTACCAAGCATAAGACTAGAAATAGCTATGGCAGGAGAAAAAGTTGGTCTGTGCCAGATGGCTGGTTTTTCATCTGAGTTCATGTTTTTTTAGAAAGCTTGCCACCAAATATTACAGAGTAAGAAAGTAGGATAAATAATACTAGTAACTTAGGGGCTATAAATCCTACTTTCATCTGGGGACAATAAATGGCTAGTGAGGAGTCGTGAACAAGGCTTCAGAAGTCAACACCAAATGTGACCCAGTAACTATTGAGTTGCTTCAAAGAGAAACTTAGGCAACCTATCTTAGTGATTCTCAACATCCCAAGAGTTCTTTCTAAAAGTGACGCCCCCCCCCCCAAATCCATACCTTTCCAGAACAGCAGAAGAGGATGACCAGGAACACAGGCAGAGCTACAGTCAGAATGTAGACCACCCAGAGCCAAGGGCGCTCTTCGGCTGCCTCAATCATCTGCCCCACGACACCCGGCTGAAAAACAAGGCAGGTCGCACTGAAAGTTTCAACCTTTGCCAGCAAACACAGGCTTAGAGACCTGTCCCACTGTCCAGTTATGACCTCTTTACTTTTTTTTTTTGAAGTTGGAGTCTCACTCTGTCGCCCAGACGAGAGTGCAGTGGCCACTCCCGGCCACGGCAGCCTCGACCTGCTGGGCTCCAGCAATCCTTCCGCCTC